GATGATTATTAACTTGGTCTAAAGCCAAGTGTATTTATACCTCTTGGGGCAGTACAAATAATGTGATATGTGCTACTGTCACCAATTAAATTTTAGGAGAGCATATTTTTAATTGGTGATAACAATTATTTTTGTTTTGTGTGGATCAGAATGAATAGGGATTAATGAATTGATTTTGTTATTAGTGAATAATTTTGTTTAAAGAAGATAATAGTTTTAATAAAATATTTATTTTGTTTATTTAGTTTTCTTAATTGAAACTAATTAACTTATGAGAAAGTTAATTTACAAGTACATTGAATTCAAGCTCCTTATATACAATTCAATTAATTAGTAATTCTAATATTTCAAAATTGAAATAATGGAAAGACAATTCTTCCTTAATAAAGTTAAATAAATTACAACGATATACAAATAATTAACAAATAAAAATTAAAAATAAAATGTATTACAAAGGTAGATGGCCAAAAGAGTGTCCAAATCTAATTCTGATAACATCACTCCTTCTAAATTGAGCTCCTGCAATACAGGCAAAGTAAAATCTTTCAGCAATCCTGTGATAGGTTGCTTCAATTCCAAAGTGTCTAGCCAACGAATCAGCATGTAAGTTGTGTAAAATGTTTTCTACCTCATTTGATTTCACCATCCGAAAGGGTGGGTCTTTGAGGGCTCTTCCTATTCTTTTTGTATAGGATACCTTCTCTGACAAGAAAATATCTTGATTGACTTCTTATTTTCCTTTGTTCTTCATCTGTAGATGATTCTGGAAAGATTAAATCTTAAATAATAAATAAAGACAGTATAATACTAATTTATAAAAGTGTAAAGTGTAAAAAATGTACAAAGTGTAAAAAGTGTAATGCACTCTAACCAAATCCATGCATCACCAGCACGATCATCCACCAAGTCATCATGTCCGCAAGAAAGTTAAGTAATAATTAAATAAATAATATAAATGATAAAAATAATATATGAGAAAAGAAAAAAAAAACTGTATGTTACGTGTATATATATAAATAATACTAATTAATTAAAATGTTTTAATTAAATCAATCCCAGTATCCCGTTTTTATTCTAGACATTGCATCTACATTCTGATGCTTCTTTCCTGATCTACGTTCTACTTCAAAATTGTATGACTGTAATGTCATAATCCAACAAGCCAATTTTCCTTTTGGTTCCTTCATATTGTTTAAATACTTCAATGCTGCATGATCTATAATTAATTTAAACTTGGATCCACTAAGGTATGTATGAAAATGTTTTATAGCCCATATAATGCCGAGGCATTCTAATTCTGTTGCTGCATAGTTCTTCTCTACTGGTCTTAGTTGTCTACTAGCATATGCAATCACTCTTTCATTTCCTTTATTATCTAGTTGTAAAATAAAAATTATTTACACAGCTGCGCGACCAAAATTATTACTTTTTATTGGGTAAAATAAAAAAATTACGTCAAAATCTGAAAAACGGTTTTTAAATTGTTACGTAGTGTCTCACTGCGCAACTAAAGTTATTTGAATATTGTTATTATTTTATTTATAATTATCAAACAAAATCTATTTTTTTAACAATAAACGATATCTTTTAAATTATGGCTAAAATTTATGATTAATAATTTTTTTTGATACAGATAATTTTATATGATAACGAGAACTTCTATTAAAGTATTAAAGCATGAGTTCATTGGTAAGCTGTCTGAACACGGCATCTGCAATAGAACGGTAGGTGTGACCACCAAAGTTATAGATGATGATAATGTAGAAATTACTTTTCCAACTAATGGTAAAATTACTAAAATGAGCGTTCAAAAAATCACTATGAATTTTGAAATAAACAGTACACATACCTCGAGGTTCAATTCCCATTGCAGAATGCATTTGCCTTGATAACACACAAGACTCAAGGCATGGCATTGCCACATGTGACTCTAACGATTGATGAAAATATGTTTCCCCCAGTTCAGTTCTATGTGGAGATGAGCAGGGCTCCTTATTGGGACCAGTTGGACATCCTTTCATTTGATTTTGATTGCTTAAAGGTGAATAAAGATGTTGTGACTGAATACAGAAGATTGAATCTTTTACACCAAAACAGTCTAAAAAAATATTATTAATTAATATTATTATTTCGAATTATTCGTTTTTATTTTATTCAAATATTCATTTTTATCCGTTTTATTTTGAATTGTTCATTTATTTTGAATTACTTGTTTTATTTTGAATTATTCATTTTTTTTTGAATTATTCATTTTATTCAAATTACTTGTTTTACTTGAACTATTCGAACCATTCATTTATTTGAATCGTTCGTTTATCCATTTTATTCAAATTGTTTATTTGTTTTATTTGAATTGTCTACTTGAATTATCGAATTATTCGTTATTCATTTTATTTGAATAAACTTCCAATTTAATTCGAATACTCAATTCATAATAATAACAAGTAAAACAAATAATTCGAATAAACCTTATTCAAATAGAAACCCTAATCAGTGTAGTTGTATATAGTGATTTTAATTTAGTTTGCCATAATTGGTGACTCCAATAACTCGGATCACACGCTTGCAATATTTATTACAGTGCTGAATTGTTGTAGTTCAGTTAATTTAATTTTTTTTAAATTAATATTAATATATTTTGTGTGATACATATTTATGGCTGAAAAAAAATTTTTTTTTGACAATTTATACAAAAACCATGATGGAGAACACTTTGGATGAAAATAAACATCATTATGATACTTCTACTGACAAAAATGATGAATATTCTGATAAAAGAAAAGAAAAATATGGGGAATGTTTAACATGCAATAGATATAATACTGATAGGACCTCGGACAATCATATTTGAACTGGTATGTAAGAAAACATTGTGAAAAATACTCCGAATATCTTACTAAAAATAGCTAGAGTGTCTCCTTTTTGGGCTATTTTTTTTAAATACCCAATTTTATTATGTAAATGCTTGAAGATCTGACTGGTGTTTTAACGAGATCACTACCCACTTTTCTCAATACCAGTTTGATTATAATTGTCCGAGGTCCTATACTGATTATTTGTGGTGTCAAACATGTGATCCAAAGTTATTAACTGAAGGATGGACTAGGGGCAATGAAACATTAGATGAGCTGATTAAAAGCACACAACTTAAAACAACCAAGTATCATTATAGTAATCATCTTCAATGGATTCCTTATAATTATTTAACAAATATTGAAGAGATAGGTGAAGGTGGGTTTGCAACTATATCCAAAGCTACTTGGTTAAATGATGAGAAAAGTGTAAATTATGTAATTAAAAAAAGAAACTAGTGAAGATATGACTGTGGCATTAAAAAAATACATAATTCACAGAATGTTTTTGATGAATTTCTTAATGAGGTAAATTATTTTGTTTTTCTATTTATTTCAGGCTTTTAAATGTTGTTCTGAAATTCAACATATTATTTTTATATAGTTTAGAAATTATGTTACATTTTATGGTGAATCATTTATAAATAAAATTTATGGATTAACACAAGATCCAGCTACAAAAGAATATATCTTTGTAATGGAATACAACATGGAAGATGTATGTCTTGAATGTTATGAAGATCAATATTCAAAGAAAAGAGATGAGGAATACCATAAATTGGGTATCAAAGATACCAAAGTTTAACACAAGTTTTTCATTCAACGTATCTAATTTAAAACAACAAAAAAATTAGTCAGAAACGAACATGTAGTTTGATTGGCAGGTGTAAAGAGTCCAAGTTTTAATTTACTATTGCCCAATTTTCCTGGCATGTGTGTTTTTTATGATATCATCAACCATTTTCTTTTCTTTTCATTGGGACGATTTGGTTCATAAATTGCCAGCTTGACTGTTGAACCGAGGTTTTACAATAATAGATTATTTAATTTATTAATATATATACAGCACCTACATAAAATAACCAGAATGCAAATACGTACATAATTAATAATATAGAAAAACAGGACAGAATTATTATTGGTAAATTAGAAGGTAAAATTGTGGTTATGTTATACATGAAAATGAAATCATGTGAATTTCATATCCAAACACCCACCCCAAAATTTTTAATTTCAACAGTTACACGCAAAAACGCAAAAACTAAATTCCTTTTTTTTTTAAAAAAAGAAATTTTTTAAAAAGTCCATGATATAAAATGTGTAAATTCAATAGTGTTAAAAAAAATGTTATTAATGCCAATATTAACAGTATTACATAAGCACTTAGGTAAACTTAATATAAAAATCATGAAAATTGATTGGGACCTCAATTGGAAGTTTCCGGGTCCTGTTAGAATGTGACACTTTTTTTTATAAATATCGTCTGAACATTATTGTCAACATTAAGATTGACTGAATATTGGCAATGGCCTTATTTAATTATCAACCCTTTTATTAGGAGAGAAGAAACAATTTATATAAATATTAAATAAAAGCATGCAAAAGGTTATATAATTTTGG